TCGATAATTTTTAATCGATATATATTGATTAACTGCTATATATCGATATATATCTGCTTAAAAATTTTGCTGATGACCAGGCTGTCTGAATTGGAAGTCTGAGTAAAAGGAACCAGGTTACTAAAATATTGAAGATATACTGTGGAGTAAGTTCTGGGGTTTGAGTAAACTCTACAAGTACAGAAGTAGGTTTGGGTAGTGGAGTTTAGCCAAAAACTGGAGATAAATTGTAAAAAGAAAGCAGAAGAAAGTTTAAACTAAGAAAAACCATAGGCAATGACCTTGACTCAGCACTACCCATACTTTCAGAATAGAATAAAACTGAGCTGCAAATAGTAGGCCACAGTCCGTACGTACCAAACTAAAGTGCAGGCTAGGTGTAGTATAAAGTAGAAATACTGCAAGCTCTGCCAGGTTTACCTCAAGGATAAAGTTAGCATGTGAAATGATATATCTATAAAACTAGTTCTTAAAATTAGAAGAAAGATGCTAGTTATCATAGACCTCAAAGTATATAGACGCAGAGGGTTTAAATAGGTAGCCTCAGGTTAGGTTGCAAGTACGGCAAATAGTATAGAACCTAATAATAGGCAGACTATTTAAATAAATGCTCAAAAGGTGCAGGTATAACTAAATATACTCTCTAAATATGTAAAATGATATCTAAAAATAATAAAAGCATAGTGCGATCAAGAGATTACCTTAAAACCAAAAAAAAAATACATATATATAGTATTTAAAAATATTAAAAAAATTTTAGAAATTAAGTGAGTAATTATTTTGAGATTGGTTTACTTGTAATAGTTGAATTTTTAGTGCTATCTTGAGTGACAGAGGTGTTTTCTTTAATTTAAGATACTAATATTATAAGATCGATATTAGGGTTTTTTATTGAAGAGTTTTGAAGAGAAAGTGAAGAAGGAAAGAGTTTTTTCTTTTTAGTATCTTGGAATGTAAAGGTAGAGTATTGTTCTTTGATTATATCAAGTTGGTTATTAAATTCTTTACAGGATTTTAACTTCAAATTAGAGAAAGAGATAGAAAATTGTGAATCAGAGCTAGTATAACTCTATTCTATTTCTGAAGCAGCTATGTGAGGAGCTTTGCTTTGAGCTCTAATTTTAAATCTTCTAATAACAAATAGGATAGTTTTCTTTAAGCTATCTTTGAAGAAATCATAATGACTGTTTAGGTTTCTAAAGAAGACAATTATATTTGAGTCTATGCTTTTTTGACTAGTTACACTATTGTAAAGTTTTTTTGATAATATGAAGCTTTGGTATACAATTTTGTTATTTGATTTATAGGAATTTAATACAGCAGAGACTAAATATATCAATAATGAAAAAGCATAAAGAAGATCTTTAGGTATAATTGTAGAATTATGAGAAGAAGACATCAGGATAGTTTGAACAAGTATTATTTAATAAGAAAGAAGAGGTGAGTTCTTAAAATAAAGAGATATATAAGAAAGAAGAATGAATTTATATATTTAGTAGTTTTGTGGTAGATGTATCTTCCAATCATAAGTACGATAGAGTTTTTTTCGAAATCGATGATTAGAGTTTCTGGACTTTCTGTAAAACCTTTATAAGTGGATTTTCTAAATTCATTATTTTCATCATTAATCTGGTATAGAGCTGTTTCTGTTAAGAACTTATCATTTCTACTAATAGCTTTAATATAGGTGAATGCAATAAAAATATAAAATATTTTTAAGATAGTTATAAAAAAAAAAAAGATAATTGATTTTGAAGTATTTAGTAGTAGTTGAATAACTTTAATGTGTTAGAAAAATCAAATAGGTTATAGATTCAAAATTCTTTGATTTTGTAAAGTTTTTATAAATTTAGAAGGTAGAAAATATAATAATAATTAAACAATAAAAAGTAATAATTTTTTTTTTTAGTATTAAGGTGAGGCTTTGCTCATATCTTTATTAATGGTTTTTATTATAGTAACTACAAAGAGTTGCTAACCTTAATATATAAAATATAAAAAGTAAAAACTATATACAAGAAT